TTAGAGGCGTTTTTTCCGATTTTCTGCAATTTTTGCTCCCCAGTGGGTCATTCTCCGATTAGCGAAAATTTGTCCCCAATTATTCTTTTCTCGAAAACGGGCCCTCGAATCAAGAAAAGCTCTTCTTCGAAAAATGTGCGCAGTTGTCAAATGTGTCTAGTAGGTTTTTTCAACTTTTCATTTTCGTTGGTTTTCGAATAATTGCCGATAAATGAGCTTTTTTCACCCTAAAGCTTGGATATTGTCAAATATGAGCAATTTGTGGCAATTTTGTGCACACTGCGGGATAAATACGGCAAATGCGCGCAGAAAAAATGGTAATGGGTTTTTCTCTACAGTGGGTCATTCTCCGATTAGCGCTAAATTTTCACTAACATAATTTTTTTCTGGAAAACCGTGCATTTAATCGAAAAATTTTACTCTTCAGAAAAAGTTCGCAGCCTCCACTTGTTTCCAGCGGTGGTTTCCAATTTTTTAATTATTTTTTCGTTTTTGAGTAAACGCCAAAATACCCGGTTTTCTCAAAGAAACCTTTTGATATTGTCAAAACTGAGAAAGCGAAAACTTTTCTGTGCTTGCCGCGGGCTAAAGACGGTAAATACGCATAGAAATCGTGGTAATGGGTTTTTCTCTAAAGTGGGTCATTCTCCCATTAGCGTTAAATTTTCACTTACATAGTTTATTTCTGGAAAACCGTGCATTTAATCAAAAAATGTTACCCTGTATAAACTGTTCGAAATGGCCACTCGTTTACAGTGGTAGTCTCGCAATTTCCTATTTTTTTTTGTCTTTGAGAAAATGCCAAAAAACCGTTTTGCAAACTTATATTTAAACCCGTAAAATTGCCTGAACTTTTGCATTTTATTTTTTTGCGCCCAAACCAAGCCTCCAAGCGAAAAACGTCATTCTCGATAAAAGATGGGAAATCATTCGCGCTAGCAAACCCCATATTCGGCAATCCCGCCCCGCGACAGGTTAAGGAAAAAACGTCAAAAACGTGTTTTTGCAAAAACCTTCAATAATTCCCGAAATAAAGAGGATGACAAAGTTCGAGGCCCCTCACAGGGTAGAGGGCGTCAATGCACATAAAAACATTGGTATCCACTTTTTCGATTAAATGAACGATAAGCCAATTACGGCCGATTTTCGCTGTTTGGCCCATTTTTCCCGAAGTCGGGGAATTTTTTGAAAAATCCCATTTATGCTAAATTTCAGTAGTCAATTTGTTGCCAAAAAAATCTACCCACTTTTGCATACGAATGAAGTTGGAGAGAAAAAATTCGGAAAAAAACGTTTTTTGGATTTTTGCCTCAAAAAAATTCCCAGTTGAACCCAGTAAAATTGCCTGAACTTTTGCATTTTATTTTTTTGCGCCCAAACCAAGCCTCCAATCGAAAAACCTCACTCTTGAGAAAAGATGGGAAATCCTTCACGCTAGCAAACCCCATATTTGGCAATTCTGCCCCGCGACAGGTTAAGGAAAAAATGTCAAAAACGTGTTTTTGCAAAAACCTTCAATAATTCTCAAAGTAAAGCCGATAACAAAGTTTGAAGCACACCACTGGATAGAGAGCGTCAATGCACATAAAAATGTTTGTATCGACTTTTTCGATGAAATCAACGACAAGCGAACTACGGCCGATTTTCGCTTTCAGGCTCATTTTTCTCAGTTGGGGAATTTTTTGGAAAATTCCATTGATGCCAAATTTTAGTTGTAGATTTATTTCCGAAAAAATCTACTCACTTTCCCATGTGATGTTTGCATACGAATGAAATTCGAATGAAAAAATTCGGGAAAAAAAAAATTCCCAGTCGAAACCCGTAAAATTGCCAGAATTTTTGGATTTTATTTTTTTGTTTTCAAATTAAGCCTCCAATCGAAAAACGTCACTCTTGATAAAAGATGGGAAATCCTTCACGCTAGCAAACCCCATATTTGGCCATCGTGCCCCGCGACAGGGTACGGAAAAAATGCCAAAAACGTGTTTTTGCCAAAAACCTTCAATAACTCCCGAAATAAAGCCCATGGCAAAGATTGAAGTCCACCACTGGGTAGAGGGCGTCAATGTACACAAAAACGTTGGTATCCACTTTTTCGATGAAATCAACCATAAGCGAACTACGGCCGGTTCTCGCTTTGAGGCCCATTTTTCCCGAAGTTGGGGAATTTTCTGAAAAATCCCATTAATGCCAAATTTCAGTTGTAAATTTATTTCCGAAAAAATCTGCCCACTTTCGCATACGAATGAAGTTGTAAAGAAGAAATTCGGGGAAAACGATTTTTGGATTTTTGCCTCAAAAAAATACCCAGTCGAAACCCGTTAAATTGCCTGAACTTTTGCATTTTATTTTTTTGCGCCCAAACCAAGCCCCCATTCGAAAAACGTTACTCTTGATAAAAGATGCAAAATCCTTCACGCTAGCAAACCCCGTATTTGGTGATCGTGCCCCGCGACAGGTTAAGGAAAAAATGTCAAAAACGTGCTTTTCCAAAAACCTTCAATAATTCCCGAAATAAAGCCCGTGGCAAAGTTTGAAGCACTCCACTGGATAGAGAGCGTCAATGCACATAAAAATGTTGATACTCACTTTTTCGATGAAATCAACAACAAGCGAACTACGGCCGATTTTCGCTTTCAGGCTCATTTTTCTCGAAGTTGGGGATTTTTTGAAAAAATCCCATTTATGCCAAATTTCAGTTGTGGATTTGTTGCCAAAAAAATCTACCCACTTTTGCATACGAATGAAGTTGTAAAGAAGAAATTCGGAAAAAAACGTTTTTTGGATTTTTGCCCCAAAAAAATTGCCAGTCAAAACCCGTAAAATTGCTTGAATTTTTGAATTAAATTTTTTTTTGCTCAAGCGAAGCCCCCAATCGAAAAACGTTACTCTTGATAAAAGATGGGAAATCCTTCACGCTAGCAAACGCCATATTTGGCAATCCCGCGCCGCGAACGGTCAAGGAAAAAACGTTAAAAACGTGTTTTTGTAAAAACCTTTAATAATTCCCGAAATAAAGCCAATGGCAAAGTTTGACGCACGCCACTGGATAGACAGCATCAATGTACATAAAAATGTTCGTATCTAGTTTTTCGATTAAATGAACGATAAGCGAACTACGGCCGAATTTCGCTTTTTGGCCCATTTTTCTCGAAGTTGGGGAATTTTGTGGAAAATTTCATTGATGCCAAATTTCAGTTGTGGACTTATTTCCGAAAAAATCTGCCCACTTTTGCATGTGATTTTTGCATACGAATGAAATTGGAAAGAAAAAATTTGGAAAAAACGATTTTTGGTTTTGTGCCCAAAAAAAATCCCAGTCAAAACCCGTAAAATTGCCTGAATTTTTCATTTCATTTTTTTGCGCGCAACCCAAGCCCCCAATCGAAAAACTTTACTCTCGATAAAAGATGCAAAATGCTTCTCGCTAGCCAACCCCATATTTGACAATCCTGCCCCGCGACAGGTTAAGGAAAAAATGTTAAAAACGTGTTTTTGCAAAAACCTTCAATAATTCCGGAAATAAAGCCCATGGCAAAGATTGAAGCACACCACTGGATAGAGAGCTTCAATGCACATAAAAACGTTGGTTTCCACTTTTCCGATGAAATCAACGATAACCTAACTACGGCCGATTCTCGCTTTTTGGGCCATTTTTCCCGAAGTCGGGGAATTTTTTGAAAAATAGCATTTATGCCAAATTTCAGTTAT